CATAGGGGTTTCAGCGGTTTCTTCTCACATGTGTTGCTGTCACAGGTTGAAACAAAGAGTTTGAAATCATATCACATAAGAGTTTGAAACCATGTCACATGATAGCTGAAAGACTGTTTCGGCTGCAGCATCCAATCCGCCCATGCATTCGGTCCTGGCGCAGCAGTCGCTTCAGCCCACTGCGTGGCTCCAAACCCTGCAGCAGAAAGGCCACACAGCGAGGCGGAGCTCCCTGGACATGTTGCCCTGACTTTGTCACACTCGTTTTTTCACTAGCTTTGGGGTGAACGGACATCACAGCGCATTGCGCACGAACCTCATGACTATACAATCTTGGCTTACGCGGGCTTTGACACCTGCGAAACTGTAACCTGCGACACCAACATTCCAACCTGTGACGCGCAGCCGCCGCGTCCCAATTGCAGCCTGAAACAACCGAAAATGGTATTCAAACAAATACTTGAAAGAATCAAAAGGTTCCACAGCAGCAGTCGAGAAGCAGCTCAAATGCTGAGTTGATGACTTGTGTCAATGACAAAGGTCGGTGACAATGATCTGGCAGCATCAAGGCATGAATTCTCAAACTTAGCAGCATTGAAAACAAATGCACCGTGACAGTGACTCCAATGCCAGTTGACAATGACTCTGAATGGTTGCAATGAAGTGCACTCCAATGACAGTCTTTGCCGTTTCACACGTGATGAAAAACTTTGCCCACACCCACAATGAAGCCCTTCAAGTTCAAAACCCAGCCTTGGCTCTGACACATGGGAAATGGGACAGGATCATCATCATCTTCCAACCAGGTCTCCAAGGCAGCGTGGCAGAATACAAAAGGTCCCCTCCTGATTCCTGATCACTGTTTACTTCTGTCTGCAACTGTCTACTTAGCCCTTCAACAGTCTACTACTGTCTGTGGTCACGTTTTCCTGGGGAGTCTTTTTGAAGTAGCGCCTGACACTGACTTTATCTGATTCTGAATGCGGCAAGGTTGTTGGTCAAGGTTGAGTTCAAAGCTTCTGGACTGTTCAATGCCCAGTCAGTCGCCGGCCAGCCTGAAAGCCAAAAGCTCGCACGCAGCAGTCTTGTGGACGCAATATCCTTCCCCAGCGAATTCGCTACCAGCTGTGAAAGGTTGAAACTAAACTCAAAGCTAATGTGACATTGATTCTGATTTCCTTAATTCCATCGATTCTGATTTCTTTCAATCTTTACCGTCCCACGAATCTTCGTGCCAGAAATTCACTCCCCAATGTTTTCAAGTGACAAGATTTTGCAGTAAAGCATGTTGGAACGTTGAAAATGAAATTCGGCATGTTCTTGGATGAAGCCTTCCAAGACATGAACGTTTGCTCGCCTTCAACGTCAGCAGGAACTTCGTTACCTGATTCCAAATGATGCTGAACCCAATTTCTGCATGATTCGCTGCAAGGTGGAAACGTGAACCTCATTTTGCAATTCAACTCGTCGCAACTAAAAATGGAACAGTTTGCCACTGAGTTTGAATTTGAATTGCGCTGTCGCATAAATCACATGAGCTTGAATGTGATTGGCTGTCACATGAACATGAGTTTGAAGTTGACATGCCCGCTGCCATCAACCAAGCTGCATGCGCATTTTTCCATCCACTGCAATTTATGAATAAATCCAGGCCCACAAGACCATCACAAAATCTAGCCATGCTAGGATTCTTGATCAAGCCGGCATCCTTTCATCTCAGGAACATCAAGCGGCAGCAAGTCATTGAGTAGGGCTTTAGTCATCCAAGACCGTATCGAACTCCTGAGTGGCCTGTACCTCCTGGTTCGTCTCGTCCAAACGTCGTGCGTCTTCTCGGATCTGGGCCATCATTGTGTCACAGCTTCGAACCACTGTGAAAGGCCTAGCAGGGGGAAGCCCAGCTTCATCTGCGGACCTCTTCAAAGGTTTCAAGGTACCGCTAATCTTCACATCTCGGCCAGGACCCTGGATGGACAAATTGTATGTCCAAGCCTTCGGATGATACGCCTGGTGGCCGGCAACAACTTTCTGACACTCAATCAAAAGATGACGCCAGTAATTTACAATTTACAATCACAAAAATATCGCCGACCATTTAGTCTGTGTCATGTGGCACCTGTCAATCGACTTGATAAAGGCAAAGGCTGGGACGAAGACAAGGTTCCTGGTCCTGGTCCGAGCCTAAGCCTTTCTCAAGTCTACTGAAAACTCCCACATTGGAGGCCACCCCCAACCTCCTCCTCAGTCACAGGAGTGCCATCTTCCGAAACGACCACGGTGTACGTCCCAGGCTTCCACTGAATACATCCAAGCACGTCCTTGGCCTCAAGCTTCTTCCATGATCTAGCACCTTGATCAAGCAGGTCTGGCTGACGGGCCAGAGGGTCGGCCGCAGTTAAAGCACCATCCTTGTCAGCGCTGGCCATTTGGCTTACGATTTCGACGGAGGCCTGGCTTATGCTTGTTGTGCGCAGTCTGGCTTTGTGCAGACTTTGGGCCGGGTCTGAAATCGTTCTGAGTCTGAATGTTCAGTCAACATGTTGCCAAATTTTGCCAAATCAACCGCTGCACTGGTTTGTCAACTGCGACTGGTTCAAAGCATGCCGGAGCCACCTGCGCAACCTCGAAGTGCGCGTGCTCGACAACGATTTGACCTGCCAACGTCAACGATTTGTTGGTTGAAAGCCTTGCCAAAAGCAATGGACACACTGTCACATGACATTTGCGCATTGTTTCAGATTCAAACCACGTGGGACATGTGTGTATCATTTGTCAAACTCGGATTCCCAATGGATCAAGAACCCATTTTTGACACTTGTCTGCCTTGCCTTCTGTCTGCACCAGCACCTGTCATGCTTGCAAAACACGATAAGCTTGGCGGATGAAAGCTTTGAATTCGACATTGATTGGGTCTAGATGGATACTCAATTTCATTCAAGTTGGCTCGGCAGATGGTTGTCTGACACCTTTTTCGCACCTTCTTGGCCGTATCTACTTCTTGGCCGTCTTGGCCTTCATTGTCTTCTTCGCCTTCATTGCGTTCGTCTCCTTCATGGCCTTCATCGCCTTCATGGCCTTCATGGCCTTCTTCCCCTCCGGTTCCACCGGCATCTTTTTTATTTCAACTTTCGGCTGGATCTTCAGGCCCTGGATCTGCTGGCCCTTGTTCTCAAAGTCCCTCGTCCAGATTTCCGTCACTTCGTCCCCCTCCCATCTCAAATGTTGGAGCCTGAGCGGTTTTGGCATGGCCATCGGGCCTGGAAACACGTGCTGCTCAAAATTTGAACTGAGGCACTTGTAGCCGCCTGCAACATGTGTCTTCCACTTGTGCTCATACCGCTCAGAAGTGGTGGAATGGCGCACCATTGCTCAGAAGTGGTGATGGATGGTGAAGGTCTTATGGCTGATTGAAAGAGCTAAGACCGCTGCAGATATAGTAAGCCAATCACAAATCCAGGTGCATTCGCTCATATCATAAACTTCAGAACTTCCAAACGCGCCGGGTGCACTTCGAAGATATTGAAGTGCGAAAAGACAAGCGTCCATTCCTTGGAAATGAGCTCCATCAAGAATCCTACGCTGAATCCGGAATTTGAATATGAATGTGACAAGGAGTGACTGTGAATCTGAACAGGAAGAGAAAGCGAATCTGAGTGTCAGTCTGACTAGAATAAAGGATTGAGTCATGAGTTGATGTGAAGATGCAACTGTCACTCTGAGGGTAGAACCCAACCTGGCTGGCAACGGCAATAAGAAAAGCTACGGTAAGTGATAGGTCATTGAAGTGCTCTGCAACATCCAAACATGCCAGATGTACGGCCCAAGCATTGAGCTTGAAGTTGATGGCACGAATTTGGACCACCCTCCCATCCTCCCACCTTCCCACCAGCAGATCCAGGATCTTCCAAGGCTCCGCCCCGCAGGTTCAGCAGGTTCAACCCCCCAACACCTTTTATGTAAAACCTCCGATTATACTGCAAGTATCAGACGCTTTTTCCTTTGCAGAGATGTGATATGTGACATTTAGTAATAATACATGTTACCAACCCTAGAGTGATTCTAGACATCCTGACATATTATAAGGACACTTCAGTTGTTCTTGGATGTTGTGTTTTGGGGTGTTGGGCACCTTACCCCCCCTCCCCCCGCCCTAGACCATCTTTTAATTCATAATGCAGCATTCAGACTCAACCGTTCAAAATAGTCAGTTACATGAATCACTTATTACCTTCAAATTTAGATTATCTGTCCAAAGCATATTCTCCAAGAGAGACTCGCTTATACATACATGATGCCATTCAGACTTGACGGTCCACAAGACTCACTTAATTTTTTTAATGTGTCCTCAAGTTCAGACTCAACTGTTTATTAATATTATGAATCATAAGTTAAGAAATCTTCTTCTTCCTCCCCTTCTGCTTTAGCATCTAAATCAAAGGTGAATAGGAAAACTGAGAGCATCTTCATCTTTTTCCTCCCCCTATTCTTTAGTATCAATATCATTAGCGTCAGAAACAAGAAAACTGAGAGTCAAAAAAAAGTGAGAGTCATTTTTGCAAGCCCCTCTGATTGTGTATATATACGTATATTTGTATTTAAATCAACGCCGACAGGATAAGACATACTTTGTCCATTCTTTTCCAGAAGACATAAAAGGGGGCCAGTGGGCCAGCATTTGATTTGAAGCAGTCAGCCGCTGAAGAGACTTGGTTCATAAGTGACTTTAAAGACTCAAACAAACATGATGATGGTCCCACTTTGAGTCCATATGTGTTGCCTTCCATCCGCCCAACTGCTTCCGAAAGTTGGGCTGCTTTCATCAAGAGACAAAAACAACCCTTAAAAATGGTAGGTTGACTTCCAATGAAGGCTTTGCAGGAGCTAAACAGTGTTATATAACCTTACAATGGTAGTTTGTTTGTGTTAAAAATTGTATGCAAAATATAAATCCAAAGGCCTTGCAGGTTGGATCCTGCTTTTGCCCGTGTCGCCTGCGCCAGTCCCACCGAAGTTCTGGCCACCGGAAGACTCGCCGCCCTCGTGCGCACGGAGCCTGGGCCGAGGGCCTGGAGCCCTGGTCCACCATGTTTGACCTTCCAGTTAGCAAGGTGCCTTACTAGTAGTAACAAGAAGCTACTAGGAACAAGTGCATCGCTAGTAGTAACAGGTGCCTTACTTCTAGTAACAGGTGCCTTCCAGTTAGCAAGGTATTCTAGTTTTGACCCACAGCCAGAGTGAGGAGAGGAGAGGCCGCCCATGAGTCGGTGGTGTCAGAAGATAAAGATACAGCTGATACATATGTCAAGATGAAGGATATGATATGATAAGTTTCTTGGGAAGACTACATACAACACTGTCACTATGGCCTTTGCTTCTGCTAGGTTCACGCTTTTCACACTTATTTACATGAACATTGTTCTTTGCGCACCCACCGCGCTTTCTCCACCGAGGGAACCGCGGCCGAAAGGCGCCTTTCACGATGAGACCTGGCCCGAGGCGCTGGGGAAAGGGGTGTTTGGAGTTGGTCTGGCAGTGGAGATAAAAACCTGGTTCTTAGACAGAGACAACGCACTGGAGACTTTGTTTAAAAGAAGTCTTTAAAAATATCCCTGGTACTTGTAGTACAACCAAGTTGAGGATGCAGGGACATTAGCAAACTCGCCAAACCCTGGCAAACATACTGGGCTGAAATGACTGCCCTTTTGCATGTCTGACGTCCTGCCTGAGGATTTCCAAGCTATGTCCTTTGTTGAGTCGGAGCTGGATTTTCGGTGGAAATGCGTTGCGCCACAGGTGGTTCAGCGCGTCCGTGCACAGAGCGAGTTCGGCAGACGACCGTTGCCTGGCTGCAAACATCATATCGGCGAATGTGTGCATGGTGTGTTCAGAACAAAGCGTTGTGTATGAAATCCTCTCCAAACAGGCCAATTCGGTGATGAAGGGTGCTTTGCTTTTACGGTGTTTTTGACTATTTTGCGTGTCAAGTTCAGGAACTGGAGCATGATCCCCATGATTGTGAAAAGCAATGCGGATGTCTAAGCCCTAGCTTGACTGTGTGTGTGCTTTTTGCGGGTCCACGGATTGAGACGAAGCCTGTCAGCTTCCCAAGGACGTGAGACAAGAGGAATTGGCCTTTCGGCTTCTCAAATGGTTTGAGAGAGTCTTCAAGAGGCCAGGGTGGTTTGATTTCGGCCGTTTCAAAGGCAGAAACACAAGCGATGAGAGGACGACATTTCATGGCGATGAATGCGGCTTGATCATAGAAAGATCACAGATAGACACCGATAGCCTCATCAGGATTGTTAGCTTCACGGTTGTTTCGTTCGCTTGGCAGCCTGAGAAGAGCCTGGCTGTTGATGCAGGCACAATCCCAAACTTTGGCTCCAACCGTTTCTCATCATTGCCACAACTCACGATGGCGGAGTGCTCGAGGCCCGGATGACGCAGCTGCGAAACGGTTTGACGGTGATGATTCTGATGGTTTCGTAGCCCAAGCAGCTCAAGTCTTCACCTTGGCACCCGAGCTTGGCCTGGCTTGCTGCAGGTGGTGACAAATGCCATCAGCATCAGCGACCTCAAGAAGACCTATGGCTCTAAGTGGGTGTCACTGAGGAGGCTAGGCCCGGGCTGCCAAGAACGGCCAAGATGTCAATTTAAGCTCAGATCAGATCAAAACCCACAATTTGTTTCCTATTTCCTATGTCGAACCTTGTATTCCGCTGATATCTTTTGCAGACACCTGTCAGATGTCCTTTTGTATGAGCCCTTCAAATATCCTGCAACCGGGCTACAAACGCATTCGACTCTTGTTTCAAGGTACTTCGAGGATTCCTTCACGGCCAGAGCCACAGGATTCCTTGCAGCGTCTTAGACGACGCAAATGTCTGGAAACACAGGGCTTTTCTGTGGTTTCCGCGCAAGCGTGGCACTGTCGTGCGCCGGAAAACCACCCGTTCTATGCCATTCTATGCCCGTTCGAGATGGACGAAGACACCACATTCTTCCAGTTTGGGGGGTATATTGCGGGGGGCGACGGACCATTCCTCAAGACGAGTCAGAGTACGACATTTGGGATACTCTGGTGACTCTGGTGGAACACTTGTATCATCTTGTACCCTTTCTCTAGGAACAGTCAAAGGAGTTGCTCTAGACTGAAGGACGGATGCTATTGCGCGCTTGTGAGCTCGCCACACCACGTAGTACCCTTCCCTCGGTAGCCACGTCCCAGGGCGACGACCAGCCTCACGGCTTTGGTCGGGAAAAGTGCTGCACTCGGCGACTTCTTGTCATGTTGGCCTTAATTCGAAACCATTCCTTCCTCATGACTGGCCTTCCTTTCGAATGCCTTCCGCCCCGCCTGGCGAATCTGAGTGAAAAAATTCTTTGGCGAATCTGCTCCAGATCGGTGTCTTTCCGCACCGCCAAACTGAACTTCATCTACTCCATGGCTGCGTGCGCGACTCGTCGCAAGATCAACATCCGTCCTGATGCCGACAGACATGTCAGGTACTCCGTGGTGTGCTATGTCCTTGCGATTCGGGATAGGCACAATGGTTACTCGGCCAAGACACCTTTTTGATCCTTTTTGTCTTTTCGATTGTAAACTGTCATACAAATTTGTCGCGACAGAATGTCACAGTCACAGATTTGAAGAAGTTCCATGATTTACAAGGTTCTCATGGTGGCTCCTTGCAAAATCATTTCGATTATGACAAATACCTTCCAAGTGTTGAAACTTAACCAAAATCGGGCACAACACAACCGACACAACCTCAATGACCTTGTTCGCGGTCCACCGGAATAGAGCTGAGTCGCCGAGGCAACATCATGTTAAACGACGAAGGTCACGTTCGAGCCTCAGATGGTAAAGGCTGACCGTCTGACCATGATGGCCCAGGATCATAAGCTGCTCCTGGAAAGAGACCTCCCAGATGTGGTTGGTTTTGACCAAAAGCAGATTGCGTATCAAAGCTGGACCTTGAGGTTTTGCATGTAGACTTTGGCTTTATGCTTTGTGGTGCCCCGGGTGGCAAGGTGGGGACACACATGCAGTTTTCGTCACCGGCTGTTGGCTGCGAAAAAAACCGCCAACACGTTCAAGACACAGACACCACAGGGGCGTCGAAAGATCAAATAGAGGGGGAGTTGAAGACACGCACAGTTCCAGGCTTGCACAGTTCGCTTGACATGTTTGGGGAATGATCGTCCTTGTTTGGTCCATCAACACATCGGTGGCTTCGTCTGCGACATAGGCGATGCAACACATCGGTGGCTTTGAGCACTCCGCGGGCTTCAAGCTCACCAATGAGTCCAGCCGGCCTGTCACCGATGCAACGGGGCCTGTCACCGATGGTGGGAATCTGCCTGTCTTCGCCCACGAAGTGCTTCGACCGGTCACGATGCCTCTTCCCGTTGATCCACCTGCACAATGAGTCGCAAAAGGATGCAAAAGGTTCCACTAGCCAAATGGCTCGAATCTCCAGCTGAAGGGAAAGTCCAGCTAGTTCCAAGGACCATGAAGCTTTGCGGACTATTTACTAAAAGTAGTTTCCCAAGGGAGTTTTGAAGCGACTGCCCCAAATGCTTTCGTGTGTCCATCTATTTTGGGGTCCATTGAGATTGCCTGCAGGGAACAAGCCTTCCAATAAGACCAGCGGCTATAGAGCAAAAGGGTTACGCTGTGTAGTAACCTGACGGCCACCGACAAGAAATTCTAAAGGTCAGGTGCAAGTCAAGGGGATTGCCAGGGGATTTTTCAAGATGTTTGAAGTGTAGCAGCGTAGCATCCAAAAGCCATATAAAGCCTATAGCCTATAGCCATCTATATAGCCCATGTTGTTTGGCCCTTTGGGATCTCTTCGTTTGCCGTCCAGGCTGGTGGAGGTGCTGGGCCCCACCGATGGGAGTGAGTTCCAGGCGAGTGAACGTGAAGAACTGAAACATTCCAAGTGAGATATCCCTGTTCTCGAGCCGGAACGATGAAGGTGTTTCTTGACTGATGAGGTTTGATGATGCTTGGTGGATAATTGTTTGGGAGAGACCTTTGGATGGTCACACGAGTATAACTTGATGCAGAGTTTAGGCTGAATGGAAAGCTTCAGAAGGGTGTTTGGCTTAGATTCCAGCAGAGACAGTGTTCATGAAGATGTTCAATTCACCTAAATCACGCGGATCGATATTTCCAATGCGCAATCACGAGCAAGTCCGATTAGGATCAGAAGTGCAATTCCCAGCCAATAAGAACAACCAAGTGCTCTCCTGCTAGAAGGGGACCATTTGTGGTCATCACACGCGATCATTCTTCGTTGCCTGGCAGGTCTTCCGCTCTGCCATCCTTGATGGTATGAGGGCTGTTCGATCACATGCTCAGGCCGGTGCCGTCCAACCAGAGCCCCGCTCCGCCGCCTCGATGCCACTGTAGTCACACTAAGTGTCGCCTGATGGAAGTCATATTATGTAGTCAGGGTACTGTATATATTCCTTCATTGGATCCATTGGTACCGTATCCTCTCCGACAAGCTTGGGCCACTCAATTTTCCCTTGCTGAGGTGACTCAACCAAAATGATTCCTACAGCAGCAGCATCTAGGTAACTCGATCCCAACCCTCCTGAAAATCTACTGTACTCGTGGAACACAGAGAGCTCAAATAACCTTTGATTCTGTAGAGTTAAAATGTACAACAAATTTGAGCAACACATCGAAGGATCCAAAGAATTGGCCCTCTATCGTCCTCTGTCCATCTCTATCCAAAGATCATGAAACATCGCAGTTATTGGCTCTTTGGAAGACTGCCTTCCTCTACAAACACTCTGTTTGTCAAACACAGAGCTTTCCACTTTTGGAATTCGTTGAGGGAGGAACATACCCTGAGTCACTAGCATCCCTGCTGAGCTCCACCAGGAGCTCTTGGGCTTGGTGCAGCTGAGCATGCCTGTCCCCCAGAAGGTTCAAGACAAAGAAGCCCCAGTTGTATCGATGACTCCCGGACGCGCGGCTTTCATGCCTCGCACAGGTTTGGGGAAGGTCGAAATGTCCATGTAAACTCCGAAATCGATAGACAGTGAGTGACGATCCTCTTGGAATTGTTTTTGGTATATGTATGTACCGTGTGCAATAGTTTCAACATGTTTCAACTGTATTTGCTAGGGGACCACTTTATTGACTTATACGGAATGTAACCTGCTGTTGTACTGAATCATTTGAGTGTGATGTTTTTCAGTCTCAGTTTAACGTCAAATATTCACTCTGTGCATGAAGAGCCGTTTTGAACATAGGAGAGTCAAAAGAGTTGGAAACTCATCGAAGAGCATGTTGCTTTGCCCAAGGCTTGGATCTGAAAACAGTCAAATGAACTGCTTCTGCCATCCACGCGGATATCCTGAGGCAAGGTCCCATGGCTCTCGCTGCTTAAACAGAATCAGCAGAGACAATCATTTTTGTGCTTTAGGAGGTGAGCTTTCAAGCTTACGGAAGTACTGCCTGTTACAGCCAGCAACCCACGCCCAAGATATGTTGAAAGCTGGATCTTGTTGGTGTTTGTCTGCGCACACAGCAAACCAGGACTCCTTTCGATCGAGTCTGAAAGGGTTTGAGACCCTCAAAGTCGGTTCAAAACGCGGTCTCAGACGGGTCTTCGTGGTTCTTCTCAACGCTCGGACTCGTCAGTCTTCGGGTCGAAGACTTACGGACGTCGGCCAGTCCGCTTCGGCCAGGCGGTCTTGGAGGATATTTGCGACCGCCTGGGACTGTTCGGCGCCTGGAAGGGTTTGGATTGTCATTGTTCCCTCCCACCAGGAATGGTTCCAACCGTTTGGAGGAGATGCTCCCTCACGCACACCAACGGTTCCCACCAGGTTGGTGAAGGTTAGCTGTGCATTCCATGGAGAAGACGGATGAAGCAGAAACGAAGCCGAACGGCGGACCGTGTCCTTCACTAAGGCCAGGAGGCGTTCGGAACGGCGGTGACCGAAAGATCTCCGATGAGGTGGGCTGTCCCCACGGGAGCGGTGTCCGTGTGGTGTCCGTGGTTCGGTGCGGCCGTGTTACTTGGGTGAAACGAAGGATGAAACGATGGAACCAGCTGCTGCCCGGGTTTGGCGAGCTCGAAACCTTGACTATGAACATTGCCCGGTGTGGCGACCTGCGTTGACCTTTGCGACCTTGACCTTTGGCAAGGAGTTTCGGCAATCGATCAACAAGTCTTGACCCTGGCCTGTGGAGATGTTTGCCGAAGGTTCCAGTGATGTGCTTGACATGTTTAAAGCGTGATTTAGCCATCAATACTGTGTGACATGTGCTGCAAAAGACCAGAAGCTGTGTTGCAGATACTGTTGCATGGGTTCTACTTCAAAGCCAGAGCTAAGTTGAATCGACTAATCTATACGACTTGTTCAATATATATATATATGCATAACGATTATACAATTCCGTGATATTTGATCCAAAGTTCCCACACCAAAACAGTCATTGACGATTACCTGACAATCAGGTTCCGCGTTCAAGCATGAGAATGTGGTATAATAATGTGGTTGTTTTGGCTGAAGCAGACCTGTGTGGTCAAGGATGATCGATGACTCCATTGATCACTGGCGCTCTAGATTGTGCCGCCCTGCTTTGGCGTCACATGAGTGTGAATCTTTGTAACAACAAGCTTGGGTGTGTGTATTGAAACGAGGAGACCTCCCGGGCAACGACCTCCTTGAAGGGACAAGAATTGACCAGTCTACCCAGTCTATGGGGCTACGGAAAATGAGGATCTCCCCATTCAAATACACAGCCACCTTCTGCTGTCGCACCAGTCCTTCTACTGTATACCATGTCGTACCATGTCTCCGTAGTCCTCGAGCCTTGGAAAAGCGAGGTACGACACATACCAGTACCACTTCGTGGGGGTTCATTGAGGACATCGACTCTGAGTCAAGGCCGGTGCTGTGCAGAAAAGGGTCGGTTTCAAACGGTTTTTTCTGGTGTTTTTCCATATCTGTCACTCTGGGTGCAGGTTCAGTTGGAGAATTTCAGCGCCACAATTGATTTGTTACATGCCAAATGGCATGAAAGGGACGTTGGATCAGGGCCTTAAGGGCGGCCAATGGGGTGTGGTTTTCGCGTGTCGTTTTGAGGCATGCGTGTCGTTTTGATCGCTTTGATTAGATTCGAAAGGCCGCAGAAGGAAAAGGGCGCGCGGAAGACACTGACACTTTGAGGCATGCTCTCGACAATCTGTCAGAAAGGGGCACATGTAAAGTGTACACATGTGCAGTGTATGCAACTATGCCAGCAACTGCCGGTATTGTGCTCACAGCATTGAAGAAAGCTGCACAAGACGCCTCATGTCCACAAAAGAAGACACTTCCTTGCAGACACAATATAGGTGAAAGTTCCAGATGGTCCAGCTGAGCACCATTAACAAGCCCAGTGTCCGGTGTTTTTGCAGCACTCAGAGATTCCGTTGTGTTTCAGGCGCCTTCCGACTGCCTGACCCACGTGTCGCCATGTGGTGCCATGGCCTTACCAGGTCTGGGTGGATGTCCCTGGGCGCCTGGACAACCACCGGCAGCAGCTGATGGCATTTTTGCGGCCTTGGGCTGCAATCCTAAGCTTGGAGGATGCCCTGTCATGCCGATCCCTGGTATACCTGGAATGCCCATGCCAGGCATGGGAATACCAGGTCTACCGGGGTTGTCTGCCATACCAGGCGCCCCTCCGATGGCGTTTCCCTTCCAGGCGAATCTTCCTGTTCCAGCCCCGACCACGGCTGGCTCAAGCTGCCCAGCTGGATCTGTGACGGTTCAAAAGGCTTCATCTACCGTGTTGCAAGCGGCTCCAGTGATCAGTCGTGCACCCACGAACACCGCGGCAAAGCCTGAGAAAAGTGCAGGAGCTGTGGTGCCTGATGCTCCAGGAGCTTAGTTCCAAGGGCACTGACAGCACTGAGTCTTGCGAAACCGTGTTTAAAGTACGTACGTATTTTTTGTTGGCGCTCGGTCTCCCGGACACTGGAGAATACTTTTTGGGGAAGCTGGAGGCATTGGGGCAGCCTCTAGCACCATAATCTACCATAATTGTCTATGACATTCTGTATCTATAATTGTTGTTCTTGTCTAACAAGCACTCAACCCTGGACTGTCGCTAGTACTGATGCATGTTGATCGACTACAGGAGCAGCACTGGCCAAGTCCCAGACGGTTGGATCGTTGTTGTCGGCTTACGACGATGACAGCCACGATGAAGCAGAGCCGAGCGAGCCGCCGAACGTGGAGCCGAGCGAGCCGCCGAAAGCGCCCAAAGCTGTGCCCACGGTGGAGACACGAAGTTGGTCGAATTGGGAGGATATGCGCCTTTGCCGCACTCGAAGCTCTTCTACTTCCAATCGCTTGGGTTGGGAACGATGTCGAGCGATGTAGAAGCGCTTTGGAGTAGGGGTAGAATACCAAATAGATCTGCGTTGAACATCTACATATTACTCTGACATAAGCAGTGTCAAGGCAGTAGGTTTGGAATCCATGGACATGATGAGCCAGCATCTGAAGAAACTAATTCCCTGGTCTACATACCTCCGTTCAAGTGTATCCCGGGCTCCAATTGCCTGTTACGAGATGGATGAAGCAAAATAGTTGACCCAACATCATGACACTCATCAGCTTTGCAGGTCATGAGGTCATAACTGGAGGCTATCGTGCTTCATTTACCTAAGCGAAGACACTGTGATATTTAATATTTTTGAATCTGTTCGTTTAAAGACACAGACGCAGAGGATCCACCCTCCTCCAAGAACGGGGCCGTCCTTCTTGTTGGGGTCCTAACCTTGTGCCTGCGCCGAGGTTGGAGCCCAGACGTCGCCACGGGATCGTCATGGGCAAACAGCCGGAAGATCTCCTCACGGGCTGGCCGCGGGAAGAATCTGCCTATCCTCCTGGACACCCTCCGGCCAATCCACCTGGTTGTTGTACTCAAAAGTGCCACTGCATGGATGGAACAAAGAGGCCAGAGTGAGAAAAAGCTAGTGAGTGAGGTCCAGCTTTGTCCAAAGGGCCTTTTGAAGCACTTAGAACTTAGAACTGACTACTGATGAGTGGTTTTTTCGGTTCTAGAAGACATAGGCAACGGGCACCCTGCAGCCACTGTCCGTCGCTTCCCCGGACAGTGGCAACGGGAGGCCGGAGCAGTGGGAGCTGAAGAAGACTTGGTTGGAAGATGATTCTCAAGAGGCCGACGGGAGGTCCGACCGACGGGGAGATCCATTCGGATGGCCGGCAGAGTCACCCTGTGAGTGTGGCCAAATCAGGGTGCCGATCAGCCAAATCGAAGGATTTATAAAAGGAGGGCGTTTTTTTGGTAAGTTTATGTTTTTTGGTGTTTTCGGATTATGTTTTTGCTGCGTTTCTGCTTCTTCTGCTTTTTTACTTTTGTTTTGTTTGCTTTTGCTTTTCTGCTTCTGCTGCTTTTTGTGTTTTTGTTTTTCTCCTCTTTGCTTTTGTTGCTTTTCTGCTTTGGCAGCTGTTCTCCTTTCTCTTTTTGTTTTTGCTTTTCCATCTGTTTGCTTTCTAACCTTTGGATCTGGTGTGCTGTTGGGGGGGGGCGCTGCCCCCCGCCCAACCCCACGCCACGAAATCTGCACTTCATCTCCGACACCCGCGCCTGCCACGAAATCAATATTTTAAGGTGAACTCCCCGGGGCATAAACTTCTAACCAATCATATATGCCTCCTGTGCTGGTTCTCTTTCTCTTTACTGTTTCTCTGCTAACGTAGGACTTTCTTTGACACCTACACTATTCCAATGTATTTTGCCAGCTACGACAGCTCCCAAATTAGTCTAATCAGCTAGCAGCAGCAATTAATATGAAACCTGCACTATTCCAATGTATTTGGCCAGCTACGACACCTGTGTCTCGGCTAAGGACACAAAATTGCTGTAATTAGCTAGGTACTAATAAGAAACCTGATCTATTCCAATGTTTTTGAAAAATAACGAAAAAAAATAAAAAAAATAATGTGCACCCTTTAAAAATACACCCCTGCTGGTTGCCTCAGAAGACATGCGCATCGGACATTCCAACTTGGCTTCGCTGCTTCGCAGAATTTGCTGATTGAAAAGCTTCTTCGACGGAGTACCTGATGTTTTTTCAATCGAACAAGCAATCATGGGTGAAGAATAGGTGCTTAGTACCACTCGTGCTGATTTAACTCGACTGTAGTCTACAGTCTACTAGTATGCCGCTGCTGGACCTCACGTCCAGGTTCCTATGGTTGTCAGAGCGGGTTTTGTGTGATCAACTTGAGAAGTACACATGGTGGAAGAATTGGATGGAATCATCAACATGCTTTCAGCATGCTCAGTTCAGTGGCGGAAGGCCAAAGCTCGTGCCCAGTCAGCTTATCAGTGCATCGAGGCATGTGGGTTGGCCGTAAGTTCCACTCTGCACGTAGAAAGTACTGTACCGAGTTTGACCATGAAGAGAATGATGGCAAGATCTAATTCACCTGAAGAAAGTGCAGAATCAACCAAGCGCTGGCGAGTCAAAACCTCCCTCACCAAACCATGGTAGGTTGACACCCCTTTGGGAGGAATCTGTTCATTGTCAGGGGTCAACCATGGTGCCCGGGTTTTGACCCCACAGTCATTATGTTGCAACAGGCAAATGACGGTCTCGGCATCCATACACAATATACTTTCCCGACGCAACTGTGAGACAGCTGCAAAATAATGAGTGTCAAATCCCATCAAATTCCAGCCTTGCTGAATAGATTATAGACTGTTTGTGTCAAACAATCTTTGGTTTCCCAAATCTTCCACGTTACCAGGCCCTGAGCGCGCAATCGTTTTGCTCTCGTCGGGGACGAGTGTCCAAGTGGGAGCCTTAACCACCGCTTGCGGTCAGTGGTCATTACTTGCGGCCAGCGTAGCGGACCGACGGGCCAAGGCAGAACTACTTGGAGGCAAAGAGTGAAACGACTTCAACTTCAGAGGTGCCTGGTCAGCTTCTTGCGTCTTTCTTGTCCTACGGTATCCTACTAGGGTATAACTTCCAACGCACTACTGGAGCTTGCACCACCTGGCAGATAGTCCATTTGTTTTGTTTGAGTTCAGTAACATGTAGTAACTATTCTATATTAAAATTTAAGTAATATGTCATGTAATGTAACGTGTTCAATCACATACTGCACTTTGCAGAGCACTTCACGGTCCTGATCACGCCTGCGTTGTTCCTTTGGTCCGTCGATCCACAGGAACGATCTGCGTTACACGAACTGGGAAAGATCTTGGCAGAAGCTCTACGGGATGCAGTGTCATCAATTCCACAAGATTATCTTGCCAATTCTGGGCCTTCTCCTCAGCTCAATTTCTTGCTCCCAGTTCTATTTCCTGCCGAAAACACTAAGGTTTCCCATTCCAGTGCGCTCGCTGTTGTTGGCAGCTGGGCTAGGCACTGGACTTGATTGCAGACATTCAGACTCAGCCGGTTTGGTCAAGCCGCCATAGAGCGTGATCGGACTTAAGGATGCTTGGACTCAAGTCCCTTAGCATTTCATCACTGACTCCTTAAGTATCAAAGTACAGCCAGAGTAAGTACGTACGAACGACATCATGTTGCGGCATCTCATTCCTGGCGCAAGGGATCCACATCTCAGAAGGTGGGCCCTCCAAGCCTACATAAATAGTCTCCAATCACCTCAGCAGGTATGTGGATCCATACCAGGAACAAGAAGCTACTAGGTGCTCCTGGCCTTACTACTAGGAGCAAGGACGCTACTAGGGGCTCCTGGCGTCGCTACTACGAGCAAGACTGGGTACTGTCACCTTCTCTGGATTGGCCCTGTGACTCGTGGCCGGATTGGAGGTGCTGATTATGCGCCATTGCGCATCCGCGCCCTGTCGGAGGCCGTGCCAAGTGCAAATGCGGATTTTTAATGAAACGGGTCTATAAACCATCCTTGATGGTCAATCTAACAACTCCTGGATCAGCCGGGGGGGTGTTTGCTAGGCAGTGCGAATACGTTTCGACCCGGCCGGGATCTTGGTTGGCCTCCACGTCCTTGCATTTTCTTTGATGCATGTGTTTCGTTTCCCTAAGAAATCTGCGAACCAAACGAATAGTGCGAGCGCTTCTTCAAGGCTGCACCCCGGCCTCAGAAGAAGTGTGAGCTATCCTGTGTCCTGGGTAGTAGTGTCCTACAGAATTTAGCTACCATATCTACCTCTTCTAGCGGCCTACCGCTCGCAAAAATGGAGTAAACAACACAAAGAAAAAGGAAGAGAGAACCCGGACATGTCCTCAGATCTGCTGCGAAAAGTCACAGCTGCCAAGATTGGAGCCAAAGTCACAGCTGGACTCGCCGCAGGGGCCCGGAACTTACCACAGTCCGGGATGAAGTGAGGGATGAAGTGGTGGACTTCTTGCAGTGGGATACTGTACCATGAGGTGTTGATTAATGACTGTCACCAATACAAACAGCTAATGGTCTATCGGTCTATCCATTACCAAACAGCTTGGATGAGTGCTTAGGCGCTCCTCCGGCTCCAGCTGGTTCTCCCCGAGGGAGAGGCCGGAGTCGAAGCAGCCAGGTTTCAAGCTGGTTGAACAGTCTGTATTAGAGAAGTGAATATAGAATGACGATTTTGGCATACAAGAATGAGCACTTGTTGATTTCTACTACAAAGGCAGAATGCAAGGACAATGATGTAATAATAAGGATGTAGCTTGTGATGTAGCATGGAGCTGGGCATCCAGGATGGAATAACTCCCTTCGTCGTTCAGCCATCATTTGCCAATGTCAGCTGCGTGTGATCAAAGTCTTCAGGAATGCGCCCTTGACTTCCACGAACATATGCAGGAATAGGGGCTCTCCTTGTTCTCAGGAGATCGAACAACAAAACACACGCAAAAACATCACAACTCGGGTTGGCAACTCTTCGATTCTGCCAAGCTCAGGTGGCGATGGATGTGGGTAAGGTCGAAGATTCCAATCTCAGCTCATTGAGCCCGGCTCTTGGATGACTCGTTAGTTGTTGGGCGGCACCCCTCGTTCACCCTGCTTGAAAGGTGAACTGGGAAGGGAAAAGGAAAACTCCCACCATCTCCAAACCTGCCAAGCTGGCTCCGCTCAGTGGACTCTGCTTATTGCTCAAGTCACCCTCAGGTCGAGCTGTTAGCGCTGCTGTAGAGAGGCGTCAGACTCAACCGTCTTGACATGTTGAAGCAATTTGTGGGATGAAGACCCTTCCAACCAACATGATGCAGACTGAAAAGGGAGGATGGCTTTCAGCCAGTGAAACAGACGACATTATTTTTCTTCCACCGGTGTGTACGCTTAGCAAGGCCTATGGCAGATGACCGGGTTTGGTTGGCTCTTGGTGCTTCCCACCCTCGAGCCATTCTTCATGACAGGCTGTCGGGCATCCGCCCCCCGGCGCTGCGAGAGTGCCTGCAGGAAGGCTTCAGCGAGGCGCGTGTGGACCACGTGGAGCGGGTGGAAATCATGACCGTCGAATGAACATGGAAGCGGGTCCATGTCTATGGCACATGTGGAGGCCAGTCCAGGCCGAGATGGGCAGATTGGAGAAGTGCTATATGTATAATGTATAATATAATGTTGTATAATGTGTAATGTAATGTAAATTAATGTAATGTAATATGTGTAAGTTTAATCCCAGAAATATGGGTAAGCCTTCAATGTAAGACCCTTTTGCGCATGTGTGCAGTATGCCTTTCTTGTCCAAGCCTAACTACTTTATATAGCCCAGGTTTGGGACTTTCAACGAGGGGCCTTGCGGGAGGCTGGAGGGTGCATTGCATTTGTGTCGTTTTCCTACTGTTCGGCGGTGTTTCTTTGGGTGTGCACCAAGCCTCTCCAGATGAGAGCATGTTCAATTCCTAGTCCACATTTCAAGAGTGCTTCTCTATAGCAACAATTCTTGTACTGGGAGGTTAGACGATTGGACCCAATCAACTAGGCTTCACAATGTCTTTGCCAACACCGAAACATTCGGAGCCTCCAACAGGTGATTTGGAACCGAGTCGACGGCTTTTCGGGTGCGTGGACCGCTCCCACTCCCTGGCGGGGTGAGCCAAAGGGCTCTCCAGGCACTTCCCATGGCCGAGCTGCTTGAAGTCTTGGAACGCTTGAGGAGGCGGGTCATGGTGACCGGTCATGGGATGGTGACGCCCTGAGTCAACCGAGGTCAACGGTCATGTGATAGCCATGGATCCAGAGATCCAGATTCAGATGAGCCATTCAATCGCCCCCTCCGACTGCGCGACGTCTTCGGTCGCGCAAGCAATCCGACGTCTTCGGTCGCGTTTTTTCGGGCTACGCGTCAGCAAAAGCCCGACGTAAAGTCATATCGTGGTGCGCGAGCAAAAACTTCAGTGGTGTCAGGTTGTGCAAGGAGTGGGCGTAAGCAGCCCTCTATCGAAGTTGTCAGAAATGCTTGAAAGTATAAGCATCCAGATGGATCCTTCAAGAACTGGTGCATGTCCAAAACTTTCCAGGGGTTCGTTGCTCCCTATCTTGGTCTCCATATTCTTTTAATGTTCTCTTCAACTCTTCAAACGGTCTCTTTCCGTGAGCAGGATGGCCAGCTCTGCAGCTGTGGCCCAGCTGAGCTTGCCTAGCCCAGAGGCCTGGGTCTCTTGGGCTGGTGTTTGTTGTTGGCAGATGTCAGTCATATTGGAGGCTGGTGGTTTGATCAGAAACGCATCCAAAAAACAAGGAATTGAACTTAGCAGTTTGGTTCAATTGTTTCACCTAGCATAGTCGTTTCGCTTGCAGTGTTTCTTCCAGCTTTCCGCCCAAATATGATTTGTAAGTCTTGTTTGGTGGGTTGTCTCGACGACATCATGTTCTTCATGTTCTTCATGTCGTTAACCCACTGGGCAAACCCCTGGAGAGATCCCAGGTGCAACAACCAGGCTCACCCGGGGGGGGAGCGGTCAGCGGTGCCCGGGGGCAGCGGTGCCCTGCTGAAGCAGTACGGAGTGCATCGGAAAGCACACAGCGAAGGATGTGAAGGTGAATTTGGCGAGAAAGTCGTTGAGGGTGTAGGTATGCGCATGTTCTTTTTTCCAGATTTTTCCGGCATTGATATTGAAAACGATGCCCGACTTGGGACGGATTGGGAACTGTTGAGAAGCAATCACAGATCAAAGACGGCACCATTCCAATCCATGTGTCTATCCGATATGCAGATGTCCAACCAGCTCTGGGTGCAGCCCCATGTGCAATGGCGATGTCACCTCCTCCAGTCATGGACTCAGCGTGCATGCCGTTGCACATGCCTGCCTCACCCGTAGTGAACTCTTAGTCTTTTCTGCTCGAAGCTGAGCTGCAAAATTTGATCCAGCAAACATCAGCCACATCTCCAAGGCTCAGGACACTCCTAGCGCTTTCCCTGCCGGCTTCCCGTTGGAGCCTCACTGCCGGATGCCGGCATTGGGTCGTGAATACGCCGGCGTTCACCCTCGAAAAACTCCACAGCCTCAGTGCCTTAGACACTGTGTCTTCCATACGGCCACCCCTGCCTGCTCTTCAGGCCAGGATTTCCTCCCGGCTTTCCGCGACTTGGCGTTGCATGCTTTGGAGAAAGGCTTGTGTTGGTGCCCGGGGCAAATGGATAATGCTGGGGTATCCTATAGGTGCTTGTGAGTGTGGCTTGAAAAAGTTGGCCCGTGAGCACATCGACTTTCAACATGTCCCTGCTTGCAGTGGATTGGTACGTCTGTGCAACCTTGGACATTTCTTGGAAGCGACTTTGTTTGTTTAAGGCCGGGCTTTCCTCCGGGCTTTCCACCCGGATTCCCCTTGGGCCGGTGCCTTAGATGTCGAAACTGCGAAACGACTTCAGCTCATGTCCCAACAAAGGGGTGCTTGCAAAAATATTAAATGTTGAGCAGAAGAATGTGCTCACCATTGTATAGGCATAGCCTGGCTCTTGGTCTCTCCCCCAATATTGTCATGATTGAGGTCAAATGCTTCAAGCTGGATGGCCCCCTGGAAGGCCATGGCAAGATTAGGGATGATAGGAGAGTTGCTCAAAAAAAGCTTGGTAAAGTCAGAGGCAAACGGAAGGGTAGTGCACAGAAAGGGTTTTGCAAAAACCTATTCTACTAACATCGTGGAAGGCGCGGGACATTCGTAGAACCCAAGGCTATTCGTGGACAGTTCGTGGAATGGTGGGCCAGTAGGAGAACTGACTGCAACGAAATCCCAGAAACCTTCGCAGAACTTCGTGGAAGGTATTTTTGATGCACTAACTTCGTATAAGCGATTTTTGCTGACCCCCTTTCTCCACACACACCCTCCATTTAGCCTTCATAAAGGAGCCGAGTGGGTCAATTGCCGAGAATGCTGTGCGATGGGTGCAACAGACATGTGTGTGCCTGCCATTCTTGCATTTGTAAGAGTCTCACAAGCAAAATGATCCTGCACCTGCCAGTTTCGTAACATATATAGATGGGAAGTTACATGAGCGCGCGATCCCTATTCAAGACACATTGGTCTAGGATCGAACATTAATAGTGTGTATATTATATTATATATATGACTGTTATGTCCGAAACGGTGTGCTAAACCACATCATTACAACATATTACAACAAAATCGAAGATCAGACCACCTACTGTATGTGCTTGGAGGTCAGCTTTCGATGGGCCGCCACCTGCACCACCTGTGGAGTGCAGTGCTTGGAATTTGGAGTTGCACTGATAGCCAGAAGCCAGGAACCCTGTACTTCGAAGATTCTGTATGTGTCAAACATGGAAGGACTCATTTGCATGCTTCATGTTGGATCGTAACAGGGATCCCCATGGATGTCAACGTTAAACAATTAAACAATCCCATTAAAGGGATCCCCATTTGCATACTTAATTGGATGGTCAACAATTATATAAACAATTAGGTTGAATGACGGGTGTAGATCGCCCTCTACGTTGATTCCGTACACAAACCGCTGCGCTGTTTCATCGCAGGCTGGTCCCTCCGGCTCCTGAAACCACCTCGAAGTCGGTGCCCGCCAAGGCAGCGCCCACCATGAAAGCGCCCACCATCGAGTGAAGAACAGATGCAAAGAACTCCGGAACTCTTCAGAACTCCAAACTAGAAGCGATGGCCTCCAATCTAAGAGCGATAGAAAGGCCAAAAGATGTAAACAGATGGGTGCAACTCTTCACGTCTTCGCTGGCTCATCTTCGCTTCTTCCGACCCTTGAGGCCCCTCCGTGGCGCTCGGCCGTACTTCCACCCCCACCCAAGACGCCGCCGATTCCCCTGTGGGTCGAGTCCTTGGTCGCCACAAACGACGACTGGGCGAGAGCGTTGGCACCTGGACAGGTCGAGAAACAGGTCGCTTTGGTGTGAGTGATGCGTTTCGCAGCGTGGTGTGAGTGTCCACTTCCAAGAAAAGAGTATAGTGTTGTTTCATGCTACAATGACAACAAGACTTCCATGGATTAAAGTATTGCTGTAATTTGTGTCACCAAGACCTTTGATCCCATGCTCCATGCAACCTGTTTGTAGACGGTACCTGAGCTGATTCCTGGCCCAGGCGTTGCCAGAAAACACCAACAGTGGACCTGGCGGAGGTGGACGCATGATGGATGAAGGGGTTTGTTGATTTGTTGAAGAAGCCTAGTATTGAAATTGGCAAGCTAAAGTCTTTAATGTTGGTTGTCAAACTTCGTTTGAAGCCATAAGTGATAAGTTGTATTGTGTTGTATGTACTTGTGTGCCACAGGAATAGACATTGCGAGACGCATGATCCGAACAGTGGAATCGTACCTAGGACCTGGATCAGTATTTTCTCTGTTGATTTGACTTCCTGGGTTTAGTGGTTTGATCACCCTGCTTCGGTCTAACGATAAACATTGGGCGCTCTATGACTCGCTGTGTTCCGTTCAGCTTCATCTAGAATCTGATCTGAAAACGCCAGATTGGTGAGATTCCAGTGAGGCGGAGCAGGAATCTCTCAGAAAGAAAAGATGCGAGCATGGTTCTCGTGGAACGGTTTGAAGCAAGGATTTCACGTGACAGAGGAAGCCGTTTGAAGCTGGAGAACTTAAAAACAAACCGGCTTAGCCGTAGATTCGGCCATGGTTGGTGTCATTCGCAAGTTGGAGTTGTTCTGTTGATGCTTTGAACCTCCATTAAAGTCTAGTTCGAAAGGGAGGTCTGCATGAGCTCAAATGCGTTCAAGACTTCCTTCAAATGTTGCTTCATATTGAATCGATCAAACCTTTCATTGTGGCTTGTTGGTCCCACTTAGCACCCAATAACCAAGCCACAGAGGCTCAAAACTAGCCGTTTCCCAGCATAGATCATGAGTGAACCAGACAGAGAATATGAAAGGGAATGATACTTGTGCCGTGTATTCTAGCGGTTTGACTTGTACCATCTTGTACCATCAAGTATAATCATGAATCAGCATGAATTACCTTTGTTCTGTTGGTGCTGAGATCATTTGAGATCAAGCCACTCATCCTAGCTTAAGCCATGCAGCTTCAGCAAGAGTAGCCTTGGTTGGCAACCTTATAAAACTGAGTCGAGTTATATAGCCAAGCTTCAACATGGCAACAAAGTCGTGCAGTTGAAGAAGGCCCGGCATTCGGAAGAGCGGCCAACATGATCCCTGCTGTGGATGCCTGTGGCTGTACGTGAAACCACCACCATGGTTAGCGCAATTTGCCACCCCCCACAAAAGAGGATTTGAGGCCATGTGCGCACCTAACTAAGAATCTGTTGGACAGATGCGCCGTTCTGAAGGGGGCATTTGGCACTTGGCATTTGAGGGTCATTGTGTTCCACCCTCGCCATCAGGTTCATCATGGGCGCTCGGTTGGGGCCTTAAAAAAATACACTCCATCTCAGCGTAAATTCCACAGTTACTAGACACAGATAGTCTCATGTATCGTCCAAACGATGTGAAGTAGACCATATACACCGGCGTTCTTTCAAGATTATCTGATTATCCTCATACAAAGTTGCTTCCAAATAGCCTCGGCCAATGAAAACAGTGTATGGTGTTCAAGTTCAAGTTAGCTTCCAAGAACCAGAAACACCGAGGTGCACCAGGCTTGGCCTTCTCGGTTACGGCTCGGGGTGCCCAGCCATGGCCAATCTTCCCCTTCCTGCACCGGCGCTGTGAGAAATGTCCAAGGATTGGGCTCACTTGGTGCTGAAACGGACCAGAGCTTGGGGGGTTGTTCCAGCTCAAAGCTTCCTTGGGAATTGTTTCACTGGGAATCGTTTCACCTGTAGTAACAAGAAGCTTTTTAGTATGTTTTTGAAGCTTTCTAGTAGCTACAAGCTACTAGGTGGAGGCCATCGCTATTAGGTTGGAGCCCATCGCTACTAGTAACAATAAAGCTTTCTAGAGCTTGGGGGATGTTCCAGCTCATGTGAATCAGATGATGCGTTCAATTCCAATTGGGATCACTATGGACGTTCTTGAGCTCAGGAAAGCCCAAGCCAACCCTCTATCGCATCGTAAGGAACTTACATCAGAGCCTAATAGACTATTCAAAGCTGTCAGCTTTGTTGCCTTCCATGATCACCTGCCTGTGCCCAGGAAGTACACTGCGGCCACCTCAGCTTGTTGACTGGTGGTTTGCACGTGTTTGCATCATTCTGATGCTTCAGAAACTTCGGAATCTCCCCTGCTCTACCGTGCTACGAAGTCTCGTTGATGCACCAGACGTTTGTTTTGCACCTCGTTCTCAACGTTCGCCCTCCAGTGTAGACTGTGCGCCCTCACCGTCAGGTCTCGGGGCACTGGCTCGATGCAGAGGAGCAGAGCCCAAGGACGGAGTGCTGAGGCCATGGGACTTCGGAATCTCAACTAGAAACATTCCTCAACTCGACAATTCCCAGGTTTAACTGATTCATCCTGATTCCCTGTATGGCCTTAGGCCGCTTAGGCCCTCCAGAGCCTCCAGAGCCACGCATCCGACACGGATCGGACATGAAGCAGGGATCCCTCAACAGATGTCTTAAAAATTCTTATATAAACATATCAACCGATTCGGTGGCGTTGCCCGGCCAGCAGCCCAGTCAGGACTTCTTCCACTTCCAGTCCGCTGAGGAAGCCCAGCACCGAGCGACCGATAGAATCCGATGGACCGATCGGATGAGAGGCGTCCTGAGCGGACTCGTTGGAGCGTCCCACGGTGTTGGCGGTTCATCGTGTTGTAACAATCAGTTCAGAAGGCATGTAGCCAAGCCTTCTTGTTCAGAGGCAGAAGTCAGTTCTTTCTTCAGAATAGATCAGAACCATTTCTAAAGATCCAATCAAAAACGATCGATACCTTGATGTGCCATATGTATCCATATGTTACATAGGTGGCACCATTTGCAAATGTGACTTGTCACAGCATTCCGTGTCCCACCACGTCACATCACGTCCCATTCCGACGTCCCACCGATTGGTCTGACGGTGGAGGCAGGCCTCGCGTGAGGGCCTTGCTGAGGCTCACTTTGCACAGAAATCAGAGCCTTCCACATCCAGCTCTCCGGAGCGGTTCTCAGTGTCTCAGCATGTGTCAAAAAACCAGTGGTGCGCTTCAGCATATTGGTGCGCCAATTGAAACTGGGTGGGATTATTAACCACCTACCTTCTCAGAAGGTACGACTGGGCCCTCCGAGCCTACATTAATAGTGTCCAATCACTTTCTCAGAAGGTAACAATTCAGGTTGTTGCTCGTAAAAGCTGGACATGGAAAAGGCCTAGCTGTGTCAAATGTCGATGTCAAGTTGTCAAGTTATAGCGTATTCGAATTATTGTGGACTGGACTCAAACATAAGAGTGCTTTCTGTCGCCTGACTAACTCGCCAGGCATTCCGATAGTTGGCGGCAGGCATTCTATGTGCATCATCCTGATGCACAGGCAAGTTAGTTTGGACCACCAGCGATACACTGAAAAGGGCATTGTATCGCTGATTTGAGTTCTGGAAGCATCGGCAAGTTGAAGTAAAGGTGGCTGACCACTGGGAGAACAGCACGGTGTTTCCGGTGTGTGCTTTAAAGCAAGCACAGCATGCCTCAGCCGTGGATCTAGGAGCACTGGATATGCTAGCTGCTATTTGCCGCCCAGTTTCTCCGGTCGACTTGTTGCCAGGATGACGACGCAGAAGAACATGAAGTTTCTGAACTCATGGTCTTTGCTGCAACATTTGTTCTGCTACATATCGCGTAGCTCGCTTGCACTTTGTGTTCTGATATTTTCCTGTTCAGTATTTGTTCTCGCATGTGGCTAGACAATTGTTCAATTGCGTCATGCTATGTCATACTCTATGTTCAGGTTTATTGGGAAAAGTTTAAATTGTAAAGGTCGTCGACGGGCTTTTATCATTTGATATCATTTGCTCTATTTTGCGCTCATGTTTTCTCAGCTTTTATTGATACGCCACCTGCTTGCGCCTTCAGCACTCAGCCCAGGATGTGCTTTGTCGCCTGTGGGTGCGCCCAAGACAAGTGGCACAGCATGATGCTACTTCTCACCAATTCGTTCTCTGAATCCGAAACCCTTTGTAATCCTCTTCACATCACGCCCTCCCAGGTACTGGTGTTTGCAGATGTACAGAGACTTTGAATTGACCACCCGGCTTGATTTCTTTGCTGTGCCTGCTACACGATTCCTTTTCTAATTTGCTGCTGGGAAACCCTTCAATTCTACATTGTACATTGTACATGCTTTCACTGCTTCGTCAACTTCAAATATGCCAAACAATTCTTGCTTTGGCCTTTTGGGTTGGCATTGGAAGCTGGTGTGACTGCTTGCACAGTCTTGCTCAAGCACATGGAAATGGTAGTTCGATTGAGCAATATACCATGGAGATCGAAGGGTCACGGTCATTTCGAGCATATCTAAAAACATCACATGACGACACAATCCAGGATCGACGGTCCATGTGGCTGGGGTCCATATCAACACACTCACTGTCACTCTCTGGAAGGCACAGAGAGAATATTTGGGCAGGGTTCAAAAAGGCCCAAAGATAAAATACGCCTAAAACCCTAGAGCTATGGCTGCTTACAACCATTGTTTCAGAAAATAGGGCAGCCATACAGCCAATGGCTAGGGCCGCCGATTAGCCATACAATTCAATCACAACAAGCACATCACTTCCTTGCGTGCTTGCTCCTAGTAGCGATGCCCCTGCTACTAGTAACTTCTTGTTCCTAGTAGCGATGCCAGGAGCTACTAAGAGCGTCCAATCGCTTCTAGGTTTGTAAAGGGTCTTCACTCCTACGCCTTGGAACGCCTTCGTTCACCGATGGGCACCACAAGGCGAGGCCATGCGGTGATGAAACATGTGATGCTGAAGGTCCCAATAGGGGGCCAGCAGGTACGATTGCAGCAAACCAAGAGGCCTGAATGCAATTGAACATATCTGAAATCTATTTGATCTACAGAGAATGGGAATGGTATACAATGTGTTTCTACTATTTTCTACTGATATGTTTTCTATTTTTGCATGATAGGTTCTGTCCCCTCATGGCTTTGCAAGCAGGTGTCCACTGCTTCTTGTGCTCCTTGCAGTGTGTCCTGCGCTGCTGCGGGTCATCGCCTTGGGCATCACTGCCGTCGTGTGACGAGTCGTGTCGTGTCGTGTTTCACGAAGTCGTGCCGTATCGGATCTCTGAGACCTGTGGGGACCAGAGGAAACAGAGGAAAAGTAAATGGAGTAAAGGAATATGCATATATGTTGAATATATTAGAATTGAATGAAAATAGATTGAATATACTAGGCTGCATGTTTTGTTGTTTATATTAATGATTGAGACATATGATGTTGACAGTAGGATTGGCCAAACTCCCGCAGGCTTGGAGTGTTGGACCATCCAGGAGACGGTTTGCCCAACGGATGAGACCAGCCTCCACGTAGACGTAGACCCTCCCTGGGCTCAGACCGCAGGTGTTTTGGGCCGCACGGGTCCTTGGTAAATGACCAAGGCTTTGTCATGCTATGTAGAAGATGATTCAGCCAAGGCTAGGAGCTCAATGGCCATTCTTGTGTTTCTCTCCATGCGTTTCTTTGTGCCACGGAAGCCGCAGCAGCACCTCCTTTCACCAGGCCGCGACGGAGTTTCACTACTGGTTTAAGCATGAGTTTCGCCACGTCTCTGAGGCTGTGGGGGATAACGTTTGGTTCTGCCATGCCCTCAGGGAGAACGTTTGGATGCCCCGTTTGAACCAGCAAAGCTGCAGCTGAGGTGTATTTCTTTCAACAAACCCCGTGAAGAAGATGGTCTTCCAGATCAAGGTGAGGGCCTGCCCGGGGGGGGGTCAAGCCTTAGAATTGGAGTCTAGGTGCGGCGCCGACCACTGAGCTGGCACTCTGAGGTTGAAGAATCTGCTGAACTGGTCCTGCAGGCTGGCGCTGCCCGCACTGAACTGGCTCATGCTGATTGGTGTCATTGGATGTCATTGGGAACCAATGTCAAACCATTGTCGGGACCTTTCAGGATCATAAAGCCGGTTGGTTTTCTCTAATTATCACCCTTTCAAGAAGGACCGGCCAAGACCGATCAAAAACAAGAGCTTGCTTGGCAGGGATCCAAGCAGTTTGCCTTGGACTCACCGTCTGATCCGCTCTATACGCCCGCTGCCCAGCCTCTGAAGCGCTTTTTGGGAATTTTAGGCAAAACCTTCTATCATGACTCAAAAAGCCCTGAGAAGGTCTTCCTCCATCCACCTTGACCTATCCACAACTTAGCAGCTTAGCTATCGCAACAAGATCTAAAGCTAAAGGAACCTAAGGAGGGCCCCCTAAGGGAGGGAAGAATTATATATATTTATATATATAATGACGAGACATCATGCAAATAGATCCAAATCAAGAAGCAACCATCATCAAGAGCTCTTTTTCAGTCCATCCCACCCTCGGGACGGGACGGCCGGTGTTGGATTCCTCAGGTGGGTGGCCAACTCCCAGACGGGCAGCTTTTCGGGCCCCTTGGACTGCAGCAACGCCAGCGAGGTGGAGTTGCGAGGAGCGGTGACGCCCGGGCCACCGGTGACCGTGCATCACGTGGCATAGACCAGGTAGACCATCACGAGGAACCGAGTCTCCGGGAGGAGGTGATGTGTTCGTATGTGAGCGAGGAACATGTAACATGCCTTGTTGCATACGAACGGAGTGATTCTATATAGTGTAAAGCTATCGGTAGTTGATGTATGTTGTCGCTTTCTGAATGGACTGGTTTGCTTCTTCGGGGAGAACGACGCCCCTCGAGCATGAGATGCATGCATGCCGCGCTTCAGAGATGCCGAAGTCGGTCGTCGGTCGGCGTCCGACGTGACGGACGGTGACAGGACATGAAGTGAGTTGTCCTCAGATCTATGCGCATTCCACCGGAGTAGCCCAGCAGCGAACTCAAAGAATGGGAGTCATTTTTACGTTTTCAAAGGCATCGATCCTGGCTGAGAGCTTGGGATTTGTCCCATTCCTGCAGTGGCTGGGTAACAACAATCAAGCGCTGTTCATTCCTGGAACAAATCACAATTCAACCATACAAAAAATCATACATAATCAATACTCTATATACTACACATATCTACAAATCATCTATCGTTTCAATCGGCCAGCGACTCTTGGAGAGTGTATTGACCAAGGCTCACCAATTTGGTGGTGAATCTTCGGGATGGCCAGGCCACCATGAGTAGGTTCATCCAGTATCATCCAGTCGGCCTTGCCAATCCGTTCAGCAACATCAACCACTTTCGGCAGCTGGCAGCTCCTCTCTTGTTCGGTCCAGTGATGTTATTTCAGTTGTTTGCCCAGGCGCGTCATTAATGCATTCAATTGCTTTAGATGTTACTTTTGAATTCTGAAGGGTTGCAACGGCTGCCATTGGTCGGCCCTTGGAATGGAGGTGAGCTCCTTTGCCTGGGACAACACCTGTAGTGGCCATTGTCTCGGTGCTTCGGCCATTGTCTTGGTGCTTCGGGGTGACCCGAGGCTGTTCCCCCAGCAAGTGCATGAAGAGCAGCCAGAGTCGCCCACTGAGTCGAGATGTAGGAATCATGGAAGATCATGGAAGATCATGCTCACCAGCAAAAGAAAAAGCACATCGTGATTGTCAGATTGGCCTTTGAGGCTTGACTTCAGAGAACTTTACGGAGGGATCCGAGTTCTTCCAGCAAGGCGTTGTCCTTATATTATATATATATATATACTGTTGACGATCTTCTGTTTGGTGCTCGGCTCCGTCATGTGCCGCAGGCACTTGCGGGGAAGGGCCTGACTTTTGCACAGGCACTGGACTAGTCAGTGTTTCACTGCATCTTCTGGCCCTCCTAGGTACATGCGTCGTGGCGAAACGGGTATATGTTTTTCTTTGACACAACTCGGGTCTGCCGAACACAAGTGCCACTTGCCGCCCAAGAAGGTTAAGCCTTTTCCAGTCCCAATCTATTTGATCTTTTCAGGTACAAAGAACACATGAAAGGGTCTTTGGATCTGAGTTCACACGATGAAATGGCAGGCACGCCTGCAGCCTGCAACCTACGAGTCTTTGTGACTTGGGCAAAGCTGGCTTGTTTGAACACCATGTCGATGCGGTCAGCGATGGATGCCTGTGTCAAGTCCCGGGCCGCATAGGGCAACACTATGGTCGGTACATTCTCAGCCTCCCATGCCTCCCTGGAAACACCCCCATACAATATCAGATTGAAGATGATTGAAGCCTAGATCTTCCCTGAAAGTCCATCTCCAACTGGGTGGAATGTCCATCTCCAACTCCAATCCTCCAGAAACTGGCAAACTGGACCTAAAAACACTTAAAAACGCTTGCAGAGCAAAACTCGGTGTTCAAATGGGATGATTCATATACAGTATTTGGATGCCAGATTGCTTTCGGTTCTCCTTGGATTCATGTGAGATGTCAGGCTGGCACTGACAAGCGTGGAAGACACCTGATCTCAGCCGGATCACGGCTCTCGAAGCTCCAAGGAGACATTCTCAGTTAGAACAAAAATGAGATTGCCAGGCTTCCCTTGCATTATAGGGGGTGCCCCTGTCACATCCACTCACTGGATGTGGCCCAAAAACACCCCCACATGGAACTCCACATTATGTTTTTTGTTGATTTGTTTTTCCAGGTGCAGAGGTGGGTCCACTTGTGCCAATGCGGATGGTTCGCTGCGTAAGGACCCACGTTGGCATCCTTGTACGACACGCTCAAGGAGGGCTACAACGTAGCTTCACGGGCAACTTTACAGCACCTCATTAACGATCAGAGCCTCCGACCATATCATTGCCAATGGATCTTTTAGCTCGTGGAAGTGCCGAACTGGTTGAATTCGTGGGTATGACATGGTATGACTCCAACTAGGAACCTTTGCAACAACATTGAAAAGCTGGAAATGAATCCTCTACGGGGTCACCAAGTCACAGACTTTGATGCACCTCCATTGTACCAACAGACTGAAGTTGAAGTCTTCTCCGTGCTCCTTGCCCAGGCAATCGGACAGTGACGCAGCGAATTTGCCACAACTTGTCGGCTTCAGACTGCTTTTCACCGCGAAACTACCCTGAATCGATACATTTGGACATTGTACAGCCAGATGTCTCATTGCGCTTTGACTAGACTCTCGTGACAAGTCTGGTGGCATGGTGACATTGCGTTGGGCAGTTGGACAAATCGGGCTCTTCACCGCTCGGATCCCCTCGGATCCCACGGACTCACGGGATCCCGCGGACTCAGCCCGGCCAGGCGGAACTCTCAGGCAGGAACGGAGATGCCATCGTCAAAAGCTGTATTTATAACGTTGACTCCACCATCGGAAGGCTTCTTGGTCAGGATCACTTCAGCTTCTTCGATCTTGTTTGGCTTTGCCATGCGCCTTTGAAAGAGATCTCGTATTTCCGTTATTTGCCTCCCATATGTGTCATGTCATTCCCTATCCTTGTTTTTTTGTCCATGGAAGGAGACGACCGTTTTGAGGCCTCCCCTTTGAGCCTTTTTGCTCCCTTTTCCTTACGTTCGACTCGACAGGAGGGCAAATTCTCGGAGAAGCGCTCGAAGGTTGGGCGAATTCTCGGAGCCCGCGGGCTGGAACGGCATCGGGTCGGCTGGATCGGCTGATTTGGTTCAAGAAGTTCAGACGTATTGGAAATATGGCTAGTAACAAAGGGCACCGCTACTAGGAGCAAGGACGCTGCTAGTAAATCTAGTAACAAAGGGCTTGGTTTGGCGTTTCAACAGGTTGATTGCTCAAAACATCGTTTCCGCAAAAGTGGTGCTTCGAAGATGTGATTTCCGGCAACGGCAGCCAGGTCTCATGAAGTGCATTTAGACTGAGACATGCTGGAGCCTTAGTGCGGAAAGCTGAGCAGCAGAGTCCCAAGTGGATCTAGATGCCCGAGCACCAGTGGTTTGAAAGAACAGAACTCAAGACCTAGAGACCCTGGTTCCTAAAAAAAGCGGGAAGCAGGGTTCACTAGGAGTGGGAAGTTGGCAAAAATGGGGCGCAAAGAAGACCTTGGCAAGTCCCACCAAGGAGCATAAACGCCGCTTGGTCCATGCGCAACACAGGCTAGTCGCAACGAAAAGGAGCGTGAGGCTGGTCCCTGTGCCCAACGGAGCAGAAGAGTCTTCGCACGTATGTTGAATCCTTGAACCTGGATGCTTGCCAGAGCCAATTTGTGGTTCAAAGTCCTACAGTGACTGAAAGACTGAAGAAAGGGAGCATAAACTTCAACTTCACTTGCCACTCAACCATCGCACCGTCGCACCATACGTGCTAAAACAGAACAGGTGAATTTGGGACACTTCCGAAGTCGCGTTCGCTCTCGGCCGTCCGAAGTCGCGTTCGCTCGCGGCTTTCTGTCGGTGTCCTACCCGCGCTCTTCGTTCAACGCCGAATCGATGTACGGCGGCGGCTATGGCGGCATGTATGGGCGCTCGATGTACGGGGGGTATGGAGGAGGAATGTATGGCGGCTATGGCGGCTACGGTGGCATGTACGGTGGCATGTATCCTGGAATGATGGGACAGGGAATGGGCAGCAGCTATGCTGAAAGCATGTGGCGCATGACACAGATGCTGGAGATGAATAGTATCATGCTCGAGCAGCTTCAGGAGCATGTGACTGTCACTTTCTACCGCCTTCGAGATGTGGTCGAGTGGATTTGGGCGCTCAAAAACTCCTCCGACTCCGTGAAGGATAAGCCACCCGAAGAGGATGCCAAGAATGAATCAAAGGAAGAGAAGGACGTGGAAATGAGTCGGGTTAGAAGAAGATTCAAAGCGCTTATGCTCCTGCTGGGCCTGTTCATGTTCCTCATCTTTCGTGACAACCGTCGCCAGAAGAAGAGGTTGCTTGACGAGACCAGCTGGCTCAAGGTGACTCAGGGGCTTCTTCCCACAAGGCCTGATCCTGCAGCTATGGCCGGAGCTATGGGAGGTCCAATGGCCCCTGAGATTGGAATTGAAACGTGTTGCGTTTCTTTTCGTCTTTTTTGGTCTCTTGTTCGACATCCTTTGGTGGATAGGACATACATGGGAAATAGCTTTGCTTTTTTTGCCTATCATGTTTGCCTCCAGTAGCTGGCAGGCACCTGGATCCATGGGATCCATGGGATCCATGGCGAATCAGATGCTTGGACCCATGGGAAGTCTGTCCAGCCTGATGGGATGACTGACACCAAGCGGCGAAGCGAACCCGTCTGACGACCTCAAAATCAGGCAACCTGTACATACACCCGACGGACAAAAAAGATAGGCAACCTGTGACTGCACGACGCGATGTGCGCTCAAGATGTATGCGACCGATTGTTCTGTCTCAGTACCATTAGAAAAAGGCAGAACCCCTTGAACACTTGGTCCACATTCACATGTGCCATGCTTTCTTTTCCTGACAAGCACTTTGCATTGGTGCTGGCATTTGGGCTCTACATATAGATTAGCTTCAAGTCAAAAAAGAAGAGGACCGCTTTCCGATCAGGGAATCTTTGGACTTTTACAGCGGTGGGTTGGCATGGAAAGCAAAGACCTTTCTTTTCTGCTCACTGAAATTGGGGAAAAGCTGACGATTCATCTCAATTGGAACTGGATGCCACGTCTCCGTCTCCAAACCAGCACAACCATGCCAAACCCCTATCTCTCCATGGGTCTTCCACGTCACCAGGAGCGATGGTCCTCCATTCGGCGGATGGCCTCGAGACTGGCGCTCGCCCGGGTTCCCGGCGTTGCTCGTCGTTTCGGGGTGCCCTATCCGTTTGAAGTGCAGCCCATGATGCGATGATATGACACATGTGCAGCAAATTGTCGCAAACATGTTGGATCCGGAACAATGAACAATGAAGGGGAGGGAAGAATATACCTAGTACTAGCACTAGGCCTGACCCCCTGGAAAGGTTTCAATTGCTTTGGGGGAACTCATGTGGGTTTATTGTTTAAGATCTCTCATCACGTGAATGTTGAGTTACGCAGGCTGGAGGATGTCAGTTCGGATGGTCTTGTGATTTCACACGGGGAGTGACAGCACCGGAGTCGTAGATGGAAACTAGAGCCCTTTGAGAAGATGTAACCGTTGCCTACGTTTTATGCCTTTAGTTTTGCAGGCCAAGACAGACCTCAGGGTTCTTGATCCAATCTGCCGGCACAAGGGCACACGCACTTCTGGAAGGCTGCTGTCGAGAAGGAGGCTCGCAGACCCCAAAATCCTTGGCACAGATGATGCCCACCAACAGCTCATTTTTTGTTACATCACTTTGCTTCGAAGTTTGGAAGTTGCATGGGATCGAAGAGTAGGACGCAAACGGATTTTCCATTGCCGAAATCCAATAGTTCAATAGGCTGCGTGACTGCGTGATTCATTTGAGCGAACCAAGCCACGACGCCGGCGCCAGAGGTCGTGCAGCGAGCGTACCACAAGCCGGCGCTGATCGCTGACGTCACTGCTGAGTGGGAGCGCCCTGGCGAAGAAGCCGGCGCTGAGCGCTGATAGCCCTAAGTCAGTGGCAAGTCGTGTGTGGTTTCTGGGCCAAGGAAGAGTGGGGAGCTGTCTCCCTTTGGAAAAGAGGCCAGAAATGGGTGTCACAGCGAAGACGGCGAAGGTGCACTCACTGGATGGGTCTACAAACCACACCCTTGGAACTCCTGGTTGGTGTTTTCTGTGGTAAAATCTGTGCGTTGGATGAGTCTTAGAACTCCTGGCGCTTTCGCAGCACTCCTTGCGTGTGTGACATGGGGGCGCCCGCGCAGGCCGACCATGGCCTGGTGTACTGCACCCTGCATGACCTGCCAATACCTTGGAGTCTCGAAGCTTTCAATTGAGTGTTGAAACACGTCAAGCACCAAAACTCCATGTGCGGGGTGTTCCCCGTGGTTTGTGAGAACACGCCCAACAAATTGTCAGGACTTGACGATCGTTACGACCATCAGAGAGTCTTGACTATCTATCGCTATCTGTTCAAAAACAACACGGGTGGACAAGAGCCGTTTGGTAGGTTCTCCAAACAGTTGAATCCCACGAGCCTACGGATGAGGCATCGAGCCAAAGCTGGCTTGGCCGGGGCTCCTAGAGACATACCGGCGCCGCGAGGCAGGTTGTGCATGTGGTGCAAGTATGCAGCCTCCAATCAGAAATCCGATAGTCTGAAGTGAAGGGAAGCGTAGAATCTAATTATATAGTAAGTTGAGTAAGTACTGCCGAATTCCAGCCATCCAGTCCTTGTTTTCGTCACTTGCCCAGCAGTCATGTACCATGAATGTTAAGGGCTTACTGGTTGTCAGAGGTACAGTAACTAGCTTCCCTGGTTGGTCAACCACAATTCTGTCGAATAAATCTTGTTGACACTCCAGGGCACCAAATCGGGCCATTGGGGACCCAATCAATAAGGGGGCTCCCCGATTACTCCCCCATTAGCAGGGGCCCCTCACGATCCTACCAGCTATATAGACGCCGATCAAAGGCAGCGAAAAGCGAGATTGAATATTTTTTGACTGGCAAGTTATTGAAGACTTCCAACGCAGAATGTCCCTCATGCGGTTTGCGTATTTGGGACACTGAACGGCTTCTTTGCATGAAGGACTCAAACCTCAAACCTCCCAAAACAGTTTGAAGGTTTCTTAATACAAAATCATCAAAAGTCATCTTCACCGACTCCACTGGATCCCGCCCTCTCAGGGAAGGAGTAGCTCGGAGGTGAAGCTGCCTTCAGTACCGCATGGGCAGCTCAGCCCGGCTATGTTTAGCTAAAATGTTGCTAACGGACACAGCCGCGTACAACCAAGATACACCAAAACAGCTAAAAAGATTACAGTTGATGTTCAAAACCATGAACGGCTGCAATACATATGGTATGATTGGTTTGACTCGCATCCATTCGATCATGATCAATCGGCTTCTCAACACATTTAGGTTGTGTCCTCAATTCAGCACATCCAACTGAATTGCTTATACCCTGATGCTTCCGTCCCCAGCTTACATCGATCATTCAAAGGGTTTGGGTCAGGGCTTTCAATTTGCTGTAGATGTTTGGAAGGCCTTGAGAAAAAGCCGAAAATGCGAAAGGAATGAATGCCTAGCTGCCCAATTATCAAAGGAAGTTTAGTGTGCAAAACTTCCGTGTTACGGACATTCAACAGCTGTTCAACCACCACTCATCATACACCACTCATCATACACCACTCATCATACACCACTCATCATACACCACCCATCATACACCACTCATCATACACCACTCATCATACACCACTCATCA